AATCGCTCTTCACGGCACGGGATGTTTAAATTGAAAGCGATTAACGCGCTCCAAAGGAGGAGCGCTGCTTTGATGTGAGTTTAATCTGAGTCGTGCTTGGCAGTCGGGTGGCGTTCAACCCTTGGGTTGGCGTCAGCTCGGTTTGACACGAGACGCACTGCTTGCGATGTGCTCGCTGCCTGGTGAGTGCACTCGCTTTGCAATCCAGGAGGGATTCGATCTCCCGGGCGTGGCAGTTTGAAAAAATAAATCCACGCACAGGGTGGTCGAAATATCTTGTGACCACCGTTGAATTCTCCGGATATGTAACGCGATGTAAGCAATACAACAATGGCATGTAATACCTTTATTAAATATTAGCGTTCTTGTAAATATTAACAATGTCCCTGCTAAGGGTTCAGTTCGTTTGTATGAGAACCAGCATTTTCTTTGCACGGGATAATTCTACTGGATACCCGTGAGAAAAAGAGCTTTATAGCTCATCGGATTCCTGCATCACAAGTAAATATGCTGATTTTGATTCGGCGCCACGTCCCAAGAGAAATGTTTGCGCAACATTGCCAGGTCCATTTGTGCAAATGTATTCAAATTAATAAGCAAAGGGATAATATCTTGACTTAAAATCTTTCGTGACCGCAGGAATTAATATTCTTTGGGGCTTTCGGTTAAATCACGTAAATATGTTCAAAAAAATTAAAATAAACTACGACGTTTCGATCACAACACAAGCGATCGTCATCAGGAGAAAAAAAGAATGGGAAAGCTGCTGCTCAGCCACGTTTTAACCGCCTCTACGGGGAGGGTCTCCACTTAACTATAATATCTTTCTGTCTCAGCAGCTTCCCCACTCGTTTTTCCTCCTGATGACGACCGCTTGTGTTGTGATCAAAACGTCGTAGTTTTTTGCTTTATTTTATTCGTATTAATTTGAACCTATCTACGTGACTTTACCGAAAGACCCAAAGAAGAAAAAGGGATAATATGTTCGGGGTAAATGAATTTGAGTAAGAGCGCAGCTGCTCGATCGGCAGTTGGCGTATAGTGGGGTAAAGTGTGGGTGACTGTCCACCTCTTCAAAGACGTCTGGCCAGCGTGGAAGAAGAGGCCAAATAACCCCTCGGGAGAGTGGGTGGACGTCTAGAGTTCCTTGTTAGTGGACGTCCTTCCGCTGAAACAGAAATTGCAGGGCTGCGCCTTCATCAATCATCACCTTTCGTCGCATATAGGTACGTGCAGCCCTTTTTGTAAAAGTAAAATCTACTGCTGGATGAAGTCCCCACGCTGCGCAGGTGGTGTGTGCTCGTGTTAAGGTCCGCACAGATGGATTCAACAATCTCTTCACTGTGCTTTCTGACATTCCCTCCCGGTCAGCTTAACAGCACTGGCGGTTCGATAGATGAACAAATCCTGACTGTGACCCATCAACCCTTTGCTTCTACCGACGAGGAATAACATTAACCCCTGCGTTACATTAACATTACGGATTAACCCGTGACCCGCATAAGAATGTAATGCGTTTACATAGTTAATGAGAACCGTGGCCATTAACCTGCGTGTTAAATGTTCCTTTCTTTGACGGCGACGTTCAGAAACACAGGCACGCACATGTTCAGAGCCCTTTTGTTAATCCCTCCACCGCGACGTGTAGGTCGGTGGGGATTATTATGTGACCATACTTCACCACCGCTGGTCATTGCGGGTTGACGGAGCAAAAAAAACACAAAGTCGACGTAGTATAGCGGTGTGAGATCGAATTGCAGTGAGCTGTCACTTAATACATATACAGGGACTCGTCTACTTACGAACATTCGGCTTAAGAACTTTCAGAGATACGAACAAACCTGTCCGTATGTCCAGTTGCCTGTCGGGACCGAGGGTCGTAAGTTTAACCGCCGCGTAAGAAATGGCGGCGGTGGCATCTACAACTACAGAACGTGATGAACCAGTGGCATCAACAACTACAGAACGTGAAGAACCAGTGGCATCTACGACTACAGAACGTGAAGAACCAGTGGCATCTACAACTACAGAACGTGAAGAACCAGTGGCATCTACATCTACAGAACGTGAAGAACTAGTGGCATTTACAACTACAGAACGTGAAGAACCAGTGGCATCTACAACTACAGAACGTGAAGAACCAGTGGCATCTACATCTACAGAACGTGAAGAACCAGTGGCATCTACAACTACAGAACGTGAAGAACCAATGGCATCTAAATCTAAAGGATATTATACAACATTTAAAGCCATTACCAGTGTTTAGTGTACACGCCGTACAACGTGTTCGGAATCAACGAGGGTAAAGTTGGACTTGCGAACAAATCGACTTACGAACAGACCTCTGGAACCTAACCCGTTCGTAAGTAGAGAAGTCCCTGTAAGTACATTTCGAGACGTCCCCATGATGTAAGGGCGAGGTAGGGGGGTTCGAACCCGGCTTCATGGATGGTGGTTCAAATATTGACAATCCTATGCTTCATTGTCAGCGGTGGCAAAGTGGTGAGCACAGAGTGCTGTGAACCCTGCGGTAATGGTTAACATCAGCGTTGAGTGGTAGTCAGCATCAGTTCTGCCTCCTCGGTGCAATCCTGCACCCCCGCCCCCCTCTCTCCTCGTTTCACAGCGTGGTGAAGTATGGTGAAATAATATCCAGCAGTGGATTGACAAAACCGAGCAGTACATGTGCACGTGTATACCGTACGTGTATACACGTCAACCCGATTGAGAAAACAACAACGATCTCGTGCAACGGGGCCGCGAGGTTTAAAGTTACGGAACGAGGTGCAGCCCTGTAATTGCCGACTTGCGCCACTATTGGCAGATGCTTAGAAGTGTTGGTAAAAAAATGTCCACGTGATCAGCTACTTCGTTGAGCTGCCACTTGTGGGTCTTACCTGGTAAAATAAAGCAAGTTCAGTTTCGTATTTGGCCTTCATCATAAGGTAATGCTCTCGGTACCGCCCTGCAATATTTGATGCACGCCACTGCTTGGCAGAAGGGCTCTCCACGAGTGGCAGTTGTAGAGAGCCCCCCGAGAGAGAAAGAGAGAGAGAGAGCGCACATTGGCCTACTCTTCCATGCTGGCCCGTCGTCTTGAAAGAGATGGGAGTAGCCACGCTTTAGCCCGCTCGTTACACGCGAGCTGCAGATCGGACTAACTGTGGTGTTCACTCATTTCATCATCGCTTGAAGTTACGCAAGCCCTTTTGGACCCATGCGCTTAACCATCAGCAAAGCGAGTTCAACCCCGATTAAGCTTGGGGAGCTGAATTCAGTTCAAAAGAACCCCCTAACACCCAACGCAGAATATCTCTGGGGTTGATCTTCCACGAAGCTCATGGTCCACCCTAAACCGCATCCGCACAAACCATGGGAGGATACCTGATGCACAAATGGAAAATTAAAAACTCTCCAGTATCAGTAAGGTTTGTCACGCCAACAAAACGTGCCAATTAGTGACTACTTCAGCACACCGGTGTGTTGGAGAGCAAACCCACAACGTTTACAATTCGAGTACGGCGTTTCGCCGGTGCTGACAACCAGCCTCATCAGGTGAGAGACAGAATTGTGTGCGACTGTGGTCATCCAGAAGAGACCACACAACCCATAACGACGCAACGCCCGATCCACAAACACGACTGTGAAATTGGAGTCGTTGCTCCGCATCTACATCAGCCGTACGAAAGAAGAAGAAGACGAAGACTCATTCATCTTGCTGGGTTGACAGAGGTGAAGGAGCGATGGGAGAAGGTGGGGGGGGGGGGGGAGGGGGCCGTGGCATTAACCAACAACAACAAAGCCCATTGTTTCAACTGCCACGCCTGAAGATCGAACGGTTGACCTCTGCATTGCAAGTCCGGTGCGCTGACCATTACACGCTATGACCTCATCAAAACTTTAGGTTGAGTACATTTAAAAAATATATAAAGAGTTCAATCGTCTTGGTTTTGTGGCTGGTTACACTTTAGTACAAACAAGCGTTTCAGAAGGAACACTGACCTTTGGCTGGTGGCGAGTGGTCTGTAAATTATTTTTTGCATCTGCAAGGAGCAAGGCGCACGCAAACGAGCGAACACTCCGCGTTCTCCGGGTACACAGCACACGGACACGATCCTTAAGGTCGCAGTGGAGGATGCACATACCGTGACGAGATAGACCAACGGGCGACATTGCCTCCTTAACATTTGTCCGTCTCTCCACTTTAAATAGACAAGAGAGCAAAATTGTACCGCGTAATCCACACTGGCCGCCCCAAGAAAGGCCTTCTGTGATCGCGTAATGTCGGGAGCGTTGAGCCGTCGTTACGAGCAAAAATCTGGGCCGGTTTTGACATTCAATGTCTCATCAGCGAAGTCATTGCCAACAAGTGCTTTGGGGAAGATGGGTTGTGTTCATGAAATTTTTTTCATTTGTAATGCGGAGAGAGATATGTGAAGATGACACATTATTTGCTTAACTATCAACGTCAAAGAACAGCAAGCAGTAAAGTGACTTGGACAATAAGTAATGGAACGTTTAAGAATTGCGTGTTTGCGTGTTCGAGTGTGTGCGGATCTGTGTATCTTTGTGCGGTTAAGCTGCAGTGTCAATAGTCTGCACCGAGCGTAGAGATCCTCTTAGGCCGACTCATCCACAGACGAATACCTGGTGCAATGCGTAAAAAACCATCGCCACTAGGGAGACAAAGATGGTCGGGCGTGGTGCTGACCACCCACCTCTTCGTGTGCCGTGCCGGCCTTCATAGGTGACTCGCTAACAGCACTTGCCCCAGAAGTCCGCGCGGACTATCCGGGGGGGGAACCTTTGTCTTCGTGCGCGTCTTTGTCTGGGTGATGTGTTTTTGCACAATTTTGCAACTGCCAGACAGGTTAATGAGCCATCGTCTTCCCCACAGCGTCGCATCGAACACGCGCTCGATTGACTCCCCACCTCCCCCCGCCACTCTGTCACGCAAATCCACGCGTTAACCACGACCACAAAAACACCGCTCCACTTACGTCAGAGGAGGGGTGGTGGCGAGGGGGGTTGGTAGTCAACCCGTGGCAGAGTCGCTCGCAGACACGGAGCAGCGGAGAGGCGAGGGCTGTGGACTCTTCGACTCTCACCCAGTTCAAACTCTCCGGCTTAATTTGGTGGTGGAGGGTGGGGGCGGGGAGGAGCTGATGACGGGTGCTGGCTAGGGTGGGGAGGTGGTTGAAGAGGGAGGGGGTGGTGGAGGTGGTACGGGGGGGGGGAGTTGGATGGAGCAGGGGGGTAGAGTGACAAAGGGGGTTGGGTTGGGGGGATGGGGTGGCTGGAAGGATGAGTGGTTGAGTGGCGTCATGCTTGTGTGGGTTTATAAACAGGTATATGAGTGTTGACTTAAAGCTTTCGTGACTGCAGGCATTCATATTCGTTGGGTCTTTCGGTAAAGTGACGTAGATAGAAAAAAGAATAACAATAAAATAATAAAAAAAAATTAAAAAGTGAATAAAAAATAAATCACGACGTTTCGATCGCAACACAAGCAACCTACGTGACTTTTACCGAAAGACCCAAGGAATATGGATGAGTGGATGTTCATTTGGATGGATCACATCGCACGATCGTGAGAAAGGGCTGCCTGTTGAGGCGGTGATCCAGGACTAGAGCTGCTGCTGCTGATGCCCGTACCAGCAGGTGATACTTGTTCCAGGTTAGAGCGTTCTGACCCTTCCTAGCACATCACCAGGATGTACGTGACGCAGTCGTCCACGTGGGTGATCCTTCATTCGCACCCGCTTCTGGAAGTAGCTGCCGCTCATCGTCTCCACCGATCACTCCATCCCTGTCAATTGGCCTCCAATGTCCCAACTTTGCGATTCCTACAACAACCTCTTAACCTCATCCCGCATATCCTCTCTCATTGAGACCACCCCACTGATTCAGAGTGACCCTGCTAACCGTCTTCTGCTTCTTCGTCTTCTCAATTTGTAATTGAATGACTGTGACAGTGATGGCTCTGTCTTCCAGAGTGGTACAAGATTTAATAATAAGCAGACTGAGATTGGTGGGCGTCTTTAAATAGTTTTTGTTTTCTCTGTTATTTTCGTGGGTTATCCATCAAGTACCTCGTTAAATCGTCGTGCGATTATCATTCAGGGTCCGGTACAGAGACTCCTTTACTTACGAACATTCGACTTACGAACTTTCAGAGATACGAACAAACCTGTTCGTATGTCCAGTTGCCTGTCAGGACCGAGAGTCGTAAGTTCAACCGCCGCACAATAGAAGGCGGTGGTGGCATCTTCATTTGCAGAAAATGAAAAACCAGTGGCATCTACAGGAGATTATACAACTTTTAAAGCCAAACCCCGTGTTTAGTGTAGATGTCGTACATGTTTGGAATCGACAGGAGTAAATTTAGGACTTGTGAACAAATCTACTTACGAACAGAACTCTGGAACCTAACTCGTTCGTTTCTCTGAAATGTTGATTTTTTTTTCGTCGTCTTTGTTATTGCTGCAATCACGCAGTACAATGAGATTTCTCATGTAAAATAGCCGGGATCATCCGTATTTGTTGTAACTTTCTGACCCGACATGAGCTCAAATCAACTCAAACCTCATCGTGAATGGGGGTCCCCTTGTATAACCGACGCCTGTTTGTGCCTCGAGCACCCCGAATATTTCGGGAGAGAATGCTGTGCCATTGAGACGAGGCCAAGGATGATTATGAGTTGGGTGGGATAGGGGAGGTTGGAAGGAGGCGTGGAGGGGCCGAAAACACACAAACACATCACAAACGTTCTATTATCGTGTGAACAGGGGGTTTAAAAAATCTCTCCATTACCGAGGGCTCTAAAATGACTTTACGATCAACTAATGAGTTACTTGAAAGGCATGGGGTGAACGAGCACGATTTAACTGCCGACGGCGTTGACGCAGATTGACACTGCCCCCCCCCCTACCGGCCCCCCGCCCTCCCCTCTAGTACCCGATAAGTGTGGCTGGTATTGCCAGCGAGATGGGGGAACCACGGCCTACGCGATGCGCATTGAGTGCTGCGCTGTTGCTGCGCTGAAGGGGAGTGGTGGCGCAGTAATTCTGTGCACTCTCCTCTGAACTCGGCCCATCCTGTGTTCGATTCCCAGCCACGGCTGACAGCAGCGGCGAATCACATCCCAACAGGTTCCTGGGTCGTCCTTGGGCGCGAGAAGGACATCATCTCGCAGTGGATTGACACATCGCTGTGAATTTGTTGTTATAATTTGTAACAAAAGTAGAATCATGGTGATGATGATGATGGTGGTGACACCGTTGCCTTTGGACACTGCCGAATAGAAACCCACGTCGTTTTGCGGTTTAACGACGCGCCAATTGCCACCGTTGGGTAACGCGAGATCCAACACCGACCGTGATTGACTCACGCACAGTGCCGGATTATCCCAGTAGCAAAAGTAGCTACAAATGCTACGGGCCCCGGACTTTCATGGGCCCCGCGCTAAATGCTTTCAAGCTGATAATTCCGGTTCAGTGATTCTGCACTTGCTCTATTACTATAGTACTAGACTGCCTTCAACTTTTATGAGCGACTGATTGTTTAAGGTTAGCGATTTGTCGTATTATCTGGCTGTATAGCAAATTAAAAAAACCCAATAACTTTACGATACAAGTTAAACATTTGTGTTTTAATATTTACGTGCTTTTTTTTTGTTAGGGCCCCCTTCATAGCATATGCTACAGGCCCCACACTGACCTAATCCGCCACTGCCAACGCCGCACAGAGCAAGCGGATCCGTCGGCTTTCATCGTGGCGCGAGATTTATTGAGAAGTTGAACTTCACACTCTCGGCGGACGCCCTTTTGACCTCGGTTTATGAAACTTCGTTTGCGTAACGTCCGCAGTCCATTTTCTCGAACGCGCGCGTTATCGCAATTTGGGCGCACGTCTAAAGCGCCCGGCTGAAGTGTAATTAGAGAGTCCCACCACCCTCCCACGTGTGCCTATTGCGGTGCAATAGAATGTCACACCGCAACTATATTTTTGCGACGTTTGAACTTGGCGGCTCGACGCCCAGGCAGGTGCGTTGCTGCGTCATTTTTGTTTGTCAACTCACGTTGGCGGCCAATAGCCATTCGGGTCGCATTCCGCGGGGCTAAGTCTGAATTGGCAGCGGCGTCGAAACGAAGAAAAAAATTCGGGCCGAGCGGAAATGAGTCGCCCGGTCTGAACGGTGCTCAAACGCGTCGGAGGCGACTGGGACAAATTTATTTAAATACCGACTTTTTTTTTGTCAACGTCAGAAACCGGTGTGTCTTGACCTTTTGAGATCGCAAGCACAGGGTTATCCATTTACAAGCATACCGGGCAATGCCTAAGGGGCCGTCCATAAATGACGTCACGCGATTTTGGACGATTTTTTTTACTCCCCCCCCCCCCCTTCGTCACACGGCGTCACAAAAAAGTCAAACCCCCCCCTCAAATATGACGTCACAAAGCTCTGCCCCCCCCAAAACCATATTTCCATTTTGAAAATAAAACATGCTTCAAATCGCTTTAAACTATTGTCATTGTAGTGCGTATTTGATGTGGCGCTGCACTCTGATGTTGTAGGAGAAAACATTTATTAAAGCGTCTATTTAATTAAGTAGAACGTGTTGTCTATATTTATTTAAAGTTGCGCATTTTGATGTGACGTCACATTTCTCAAACTCCCCCCCCCTCGTCACACATCGTCACAAATGTCTGACCCCCCCTTGGTGCGTGACGTCATTTATGGACGGCCCCTAACCTCCGTCCTGGCAGAGAGACGTCTGAACCGGTTTTAGCGAACCGCCTTCAAGCAACCCGCACTGACCAGTGTGAAGGACAAATAAAAGACAAACGATTCTTCCACATCGCCTCTAACAGACTCTTCATGCCACGTGCTGTGAGCGAGCACCTATGAAGGCTGGCACTGCACACGAAGAGGATGGGTGGCGATGTTTACACACCACACCAGGTGCCCATTTGAGACGGAGTCGACCTAGGGGAGGCCCAAGACCGGTTCAGACAATCGTCACCGGTGTTAGCCGTGAGCGGGGATCGAACTCGGCCTCAAATGAGGACCTGGTGCGGTGTGTAAACATCACCACTGGGGAGACAAAGGCGGCCGGGCGTGGAGTTGTCCACCGGCCCACTCACCCAACCACATCCGACAACCACTTTCCCTGTAAAAACCAGGCTGACGCAGCACGGACTGTGGAATAAATCCAAAATGACGATAAGATAGTGCAGCAGCATCATCATCATCACCACCACCAGACTTTATTTCACTCGATAAGAAGCAACTGGAGCTGGGGGCGGGGGGGGGTAGCGGTGGCGCGTTGACCCTGACGGCCTGCCTGAGGGGTGCTTCCTGGCCACGGCTCACATCAGTGGCGACCGACATCTGAGACGGTCCCAGGAGCTCCCATTTCCACCTTCACCAACGCGCAGTGACCGGCGTGGAGAAGTATGGTCGAACAAACTCCCGTGATCTTCTTGGTTCTTTCGGTAAAGTCACGTAGTCACGAAAGCTTTAAATCGAAATTTAAACTCCCGTGACTTTGCGATTAGGTGCTGGTTGGTGGAGGCGGGGAGCGTAACACGTGGCAGCCCCGCAACCGCCTATGTCAATCTGTTCATGCACGGTGCTTGTCCACCTCGAGATTACTGGCACTATCCGAGCTTAGATTTCTAATTCTGATGAGACCAGAGGCACATCAGTGGGTGTTGCATGTATGCTGAACTTCCTTCGCACTGTGCTAATCCGAAGTGCCTGGGGGAAGGACAAAATAAACACAAAAAAGCAGCTCTAAAGAAAACAAGTTTTCAATCTGATACTTAAAAGGGCATCTCTACAGTCGCTTCGTAATATCGGAAGAGCGTTCCAGACAGGCCGCAGAAACGCATCTGAAAGCGCGCAATGCAGTGACCATTTTTGCAAGGATGTTAATTTCACGCAAACAACGTTACAGGGAAAATGATATAGATTAAGACGAGAGTTAAATTTCAATTTAAAGCTTTCGTGACTGCAGGGATTCATCTTCTTGGTTTTTTCGATAAAGTCACGTAGAAGGAAAATAAAAAATAAAAAAATAATAAAAAAATACAAATAAAAATA